GCATAAGGGAGGGAAGCTGGCTGAAGGTATCACTAAGTGGTAACCCAGGCTACAGACCTCCATCAAAATCATTCTTCCATACTTCATCATGGGGACATCTGCTGCAAAATAGATCAGTTATTGTAGATATTCCATTAGTGGATCAGGAGTTTTATGGAAGTGAGCTAATACAGTACAAGGAGGAGTTAAGTACAACAGGTGTCATGTTTGAATTTAAAGAGGCATGTGAATACATTGGACAACATTTTATGTCTCTGGCAACTTATTCTACTTTAACCAAAGTCCATGTGATGTCAATACTCAATTTCATCAAGTATCTGCGGGAGAAATATCTTTCCCCAGATACCTTCATCAATAGCATAAAGGATAGACCGTGGTTGCAGACTACTCAAGGTGAGAAGAGCCCACAAGAGTCTGTTTTCTTGGACAGTGAGTGGGATGCTGCCTCACAGATCAGTGACATTCCATTTATTGATAATAAGCATTATGGGAGTGCAATTCTTTCCTTTAAAACAGAACTAAAGCTGCTTGGAGTGGTGGTTGGTTTTAATCAAAATTACCAGCTCGTTGTTGACAACTTGAGATCTCCAACACGCTTAGGTTGCCTGAGTTCTGATGCTTTGTTCTTGATCCTGAAGTGTATTCGCAACCTGAGATCATCTGAAAAAATATGCAGGGCACTTAAGGATAACAAATGTATGAAGTCCATAAACATGGGGTGGAAAACTCCAGCTAAATGTGTTTTGCTTGATCCTGTGTGGGGCTGCCTGCTGCAGGTGTTTTGCAGTTTTCCTCTTATTGATACAAATTTCTATGGAAGCAATATCTTGTCATTTAAAAGCGAGTTGCAGAAATTAGGGGTGGTGGTTAATTTTGAGGAGGCAACTAAAGCTTTTGTTGCTATGTTCAGGCGGCAGACATCTAAGGGTTCGTTAAACAAAGATAGTGCTCATTCCCTTCTTTCATGTTACAGAAAGTTAAAGAAAACTAGCTTTAAATTTCCTTCAGATCTTAAGAGTTGCATTCAAGAGGTCGAGTGGTTGCGTACTCGAACTGGTGATAAATTACCTAAAGAATGCATACTTTTTGATTCAGCTTGGGAAGCTCTCTCTTCAATCTCTTTGTTGCCTTTTATTGATGATAGTGAGGCTCGGTACGGAAGGAGCATTCATGAGTATAAGGATGAACTTAAGAGTTTGGGAGTTGCGGTGACTTTTGAAAGTGGGGCAAAGTTTGTGCCTGCAAGCCTACGATTTCCTGATGACCCTAGCGTCATTACTGTTCCAGCGGCAATCTCATTGTTAGTGTGCTTGCAGAAATTGGAGGTGGATAATAATGATTATCTGATTGCTTTGCGGTCAAAGCTTGCTAGAAAATGGATGAAGACTAATGCTGGTTACAGGTCACCAGATAAGTGTTTTTTGTTTGGTCCTCAGTGGAATCCTATCTTACTGCCTGAAGATGGTCCTTTCATCGATGAAAACTTTTATGGCTCCAACATAGGATCATATAAGAAAGAGCTCAAGTCTCTTGGTGTTGTAGTTGAAATTGGAGATGGATGCTCTTTGCTTGCTGATTATCTTGATTCACATTCCAGCAGGATTACTATCACTCGGATCTATGAGTACTTGAGCAAGTTCAACTGGGAACCAGCAAAAGAAGATGCTAGAAGAATATGGATTCCAAATGGTGATAACGATGGAGATTGGGTGAATTGTGATGATTGTGTTCTGCATGACAAAAGTGGTTTCTTTGGCCTGCAGTTGCATGTCCTAGAGAAGCACTATGACAAGGAACTGCTCAGTTTCTTCTCCAACTTAGGTGTCAAAAGCAATCCTTCTCTTGATGATTTTCTCAAGCTATGGAATTCATGGGAAAATGCTGGCCGCAGTTTGTCACAATCAGAGTGCCAAACTTTCTGGGAGTTCATTGTGAAGCACTGGAGCTCACGAACTGAGAAATTTCTGTCTGAAAACTTGTCAAAACTTCCTGCAAGTTCAGGCTTGAAAAAGGAAATTTTGATGCTTGACAAACGTGATGTTTTTATTGGTGATGATCTCTATCTGAAGGATTTATTTGAAAAGTCTTCTTCTCATCACTTGTTCGTTTGGTATCCACAACCAAGCTTGAAATCTTTGCCTCGACAGGAGCTACTTGAAATTTACAGCAAAATTGGTGTTCGTAATTTGTCTGAATCTGTTTTGAAGAAAAGCCTGTCTTCTGTTAATTGTGATGGACTTGAGCAGGTGCAGCCAAAAGAAATCTTCATTGGGAGGGGTTTGTTTAAGTTAATTCTTGGCTTCCTTGCTGATCCTTTACTTCAAATGGAAGTGCATAAGAGACATGAAGCTCTCAAATGCCTCATGGATGTCAGTATTTTTGCTACATTAGAACCAATCACCATGGATTGCAGTTTGTCACTTTCTTCTGGAGAAGTCCTGAATGTGAACGTAAGCCGAATGATTTGTTGGGAAAGAAAAAGTTCAAAGATCTTCCTACAGAGGCTGGACAAATCAGGTGGTTACAAAAGCAAGCTTGAGTATGCCACATATTTCTCTGAAGTAGTTGCTGAGGGAATTCTAAAGGAGAAAGAAGATTTTGTGCCTCAACTGGCTGAATTGATCAAGTTGGGGTTCATCCTGAAATTCGACGAGGCAGCTATTGAGTTCTTGATGAAAACAGAGAATCTGCAGATATTTTTGGAGGATGAAGAATTTCTCTCCTCTGCCTTCACTTCTGAATAGGTATTTATGTGTATTAAATCTCCCATCCCCATTATTTACCCCCTTATATCTTGTAAAATGTTTATGTTGAAACATGATCATCTACTTCTCTCTGGTTGAGATACAAAATCCGAGTATTGACTATCCTGAAATAATTTGTTTGTGCAGGAGGGAAGACATGGTTGTAAATGGTCTGGAAGAACTTTTTGATTTACTGAGGCCCTCTGTAGATGCCAAATGGGATTTCTGGTCTGGCGAGAAGTCTGTTGAATGAAGATTGATCATTTGTTATAATTCCCTGCTAGTTGTCAATGCCCTTTGTTTTGTATTTAGTTGCTCTAAGGTTCTCTGTGTAATTTACTAAATTTGTTCTTAGAGAGATACAATGCTCTGTTCCATGTCTTTAATTCTGCATCTTTTTCCAGTTTTATAATAATTGAAATTATTCTCTTTAGTTCACATGTTTATCTACCATAATGTAGTGTGTGCAATCTCTCATGCGTGTATAGATGAGCCATTTGTGAATCCTTTTTGACTTCCCCACCCATGAAGAAACTTTCTGAAAATCTGGTACAAAAGAAGTTGAGATTTCTCCATCACTTGATTTGCTAAAGTATAGTCTACTACGTGTTGACCAGAACAAGAAAAAGAAGAAGACATTCTGGAATTAAGAGGTATATACAACCTCTTAAGTCTATACAATTAATATTAATTTCATTACAGTGGACCTGCTATTTGATTTGCTAAAGTATAGTTTACATCCAGTAAACATAGCAAACAAAGGGTGATGAGTTTAATTTTCCAAAAAGACAATCAAGTAAATGTGTTGTGCGCAGGTGCTTTTCCAGGAAGAATATGGGTGCGCTTGTGCCTGGAGTAACATGATCGAACGTTCAGCATATTCTTTGACAGTGCACTTTTAAAACTCTTCCTCTTCGTTTCTTTCTTCACCTTCTTGCCCACAGGCACCACCTGCATGAAAATGTAAGTTTACTACTGTTATTCATTCTTTTGGTTTTATATATGCCAGATATTATCTGATCTGTTTATGTTTAGCTGCTCTAGTGTTTGTGCTATTCTGGTGTTTAACGAAATCTGTTTTTGTTACATTCCTGTTATGTTTTTGTTTATTTCCCTCAAAGAAAAAAGCGACCAGAGTAAAATCTTTGCAGTTAAAAAGCTCAAAAGTAAGCAAACGACTGCAGATTTGTTTATAATAATGGCACATGCATAAAACAACAATTCTGCCGCAATCCAAGCTAGATGGGATTGACTATAACCTATGTACAGACTCACATCAACCAAATATTTGAAAAACTAACTTCTTTGATCATAGAATTTTTTCTGCATTTTCTAGTTGAAGTAGTTATACTTTTGGTATTACGAGTTCACAGTTAATGCTTGTAGTAGTTTTGACCTAACATGACCTATGTTTGCTCGAACTCTTCAAAAATATAACACCATGTAGTGTATTTTTGAATCCCACACTTGCGCGACAACATTTTTGGAGAGCCCGACAACATAAGTTTTGTCTTGTTATCTTTGCTTCATATTCAGAATAATGTGTTCAGTCTAATGCATTGCACAACAGGTTGGGCTTTAATTCTGAATAAATTGGATAATCCTACAGCTTCTAGTTAACAGTTGCAACATCTCTGTCATCAAAAGACTGGGAAAAATTTTAACTGTCTTGATATAGAGCTAAAGGCATCTGTTTTTACTTTTGAAAACTTACAAATTTTCTTGACAATTATGTATTTTAATAACTAAAATCATTACACTAATCATATGAAAGTTGGAAAATTGCCATTTATATTTGACAAAAATTAAAGAATCACATGCATATATACCTCTGTTGATGATATGGTAGCAGCAATAAGGGTTGTTGGTCTATTAGTAGCTGCAATTGGAGTTGTGTTCTTAATGACATCCTTGTTACCTGCATTACACATTAAATGGTTAGAGAGGAAAATTAGGTTAGGAAATAAATTAGACTTGGCTAGACATTGGCAGTGGCGGAACCAGGATTATATACCAGGCGATTAAATGTCACACCTAATTATAACTAACATCTATGGTGACCAAAACAATTATTGAATCCTCTTTGCCATTATATTACAATTTTTCTTTATATTAAAGGGGTCAGTATAATTTTTCGATGAAGGATATTCAATTAATCGTCATGCATAAACAAGGACATGCATATATTTGAGATAGAGACTTAATGACATTTTTATGGTTTCTATATATCTTTTGATGATAAATGATTAAAGTAAATTAATACATACCAATTATTACTTCATTAATCTTCTCGTCTTCAACAACATTGTTATTATTTATGAAATATACTCTAAAACTTGGTGAACCAGGTCCCTCATCATCATAACTACGTTTTATCATCCTTTGATCATCTTTATTATTATCATCATCTTCAACATCTCCATGATCCCTTTCTTCTTCTTCTTCGTCGTCGTCGTCTTCTTGAACGATTGCTTCTATCAATTTTGCCACTTTTTCTTGATGATCATCATTTGCTTCAACTTTTTTAATATCCTTAATTACATACTCACTTTTTCCTAGGCTTCCTTCTAAATTTTCATCATCTTCTATAGCATATGAAAGCAATTCTTTCTTTGAAGGTGTAGATTGTTTTGTTGGCCTATGAAAACGCCTTCTTTTCCTCTTGTCATGTAAACGTCGACGAAGGAAGTTTGGAGGGGTCATATTGTTCTTGCCTTTTACCCTAGAGATTTCACCCCCCATTTTTCAAGATTTTTAATTAGACGGATCGAAAACAATAATAACTATGACTCAATCCTAAACGAGTTAGGATTGACGAAGATCAGCGTACGTAAAATTAGCTGATTTATGATAAGGTAGCTAGCTAGCCAAGGACAATGATGAAGAAAGGCCCTAAAAAAAGAGATTTTGACTATATATGGATAAATTTTTTCTCTCCTTTTAGGAACTTACTATAATTAATGATAAAGGATTTTATCCTCCAGGAAAGAGGAATATAAGGTATCCAAGAAATGCATGCATGTATTCTGAGTTTTTCACAATATCTAAAAAAAATATAAATTAATCAAAATGGAATATGGTTAATTGAACATTGAAGGGATGTGGACGAGCATGGATTTCGGTTTAGTTTGATAAATTAATTAATGAAAAAACAACAATTAGTATTTGTTAGAAAAATAAAAATTAATTTCAAGAATCTCGAGCTTATGTTTATAGATAATTAGACTATTAAATCTTGTGAAATTAATCTCAGGAATTATAAAAAAACTGAAAAAGTAGAGCCTATTCTTCTTTCAAGTCATCTGTTCGACTTGACTCTTGACATCATGTGGTAAATGAACATTGCGGGTGTGTTTGGTACTATGGAGAATATTTTTCGGAAAATGTTTTTTAATTTTCTCATGTTTGGTTAGGTAAAATGTTTTGGAAAATATTTTTTAAATCAATTCATTTTCCTCAAATTTAAGGAAAATGACCTCCATAAAAATGAAGGAAAATATTTTCCAAAACTCTCCTCCAACATCATATTACAATTCTTTTGTTGAAAAATTAAATTTAAAGTTATTTTAAAAAAAAATATTTTCAACTTCAATTTTTTATCCCCCCTACTCCCTAACCCTCACCCCCCCCCCTCCAAAAAAAAAATTAAAAAATTATAGTTTGTTTTTAAAAAATATTTTCAATTTCAATAATTATTTTCTACTCTTTAGTAAAAATAATAGATATTTTCTCAAAAATATTTTTCATTCATAAATTAAACACTAAAAAATATTTTCTACTCACCAACCAAACATGAGAAAATAAGTCAAAAATCTACTTATTTTCCAGGAAAACATTTTCCTTCATACCAAACACACCCTAAATGTAATTTAATTTCTAAAAAAAGTTTCAAAATTATATAAGAGTCCGATTCACTTCATCTGCCTTCGATGTGGATGTCTTCTTTCATCATAAAGCCAGCAGAAATATTTGTTGGGGCCTCAATCATGTGAACAAGTAATTAAAGGTATTACAAAATCACGTTTCAACTATTTTGTATTTTAATTTATCTGTATATTTCTAACTCAAGAACTGAACTTTTTCCACTTGTAGTTGAGGAATATTACTAGGTATGTGCATAATATTGTGACCTTAACATGATAAGGATTTAAGTTATATAATTCTTCACATCATCACATTAGCTTGTTATAATACTCTTTAATTAGTATAATTACAATGGATATAAGTTAATTATATGCGTGCATAGTGTAACTTTTATTATATAGAAATATATACAACTAAATTTTAATTTGTGATATAATTGGTTAATTATCATTTTTATCAGATTATTCATTAGTATCTATCAAGATGCTTATGTATTTTTTTTTATACCTATCAACATGGACGGATACACCTTGCCTCAAGCGGTTTGTCGAACTTTTTACTAAATAAACTATTAGCAAAAATTGAAATATTGGTATAATTGTGAAAAAATGACGTTACTTGTCATAGTAATGATTTATTCATTTATTTCTTCTTAATTCGAATGTTGATATCACTTGTTGAAATTTTTGTACTCCTATCAAAGTTACATTATAATCGTTCAAACAAAATAAACATCATATACTTCTTGATTATTTATATCAATTTCTAATTAAAATCAAAATCCATTCAAACGTACTTTGTGTGGGTGGGTACAAGTTATACGAATTTGGGCTAATTTTGACAGCTCTATCCTCCCACATCAAATGAAATCGTTGGTCCTTAAATGCTAAAAATAGCGTGAATCATGGTGAGGTTATATGTATTGTTCCCTAGGTCATTACAGAGGGTCCTGTAAAGTTTTTGCAAAAAAAAGTTGTGGAAATCCATATCATCAAAAAAATTATGTTCTAACACATACGAAAAATTGAGAAAATCGCCTAATTTATGTTGAGTGTCCCCTTAATACTAAATAAATTGGCATGTGTAATGGTGAGACTTAGGTATTGTTCGCCAAAGTCATTACAGAGGGTCCTATATAGATTGTGAAAAAAAATGCCAAAATCTATATCACCAAACACTTAGCTAGCGTTTGGCCATAGATTTTCAAATATTATTTGGGTGAAGATTTGGGTGAAATTTCACCATGTGTTTGGCCATAGTATTTGGGAAATATATTTCAATTTTTTAAGAAATATGACTTATGCCCATAAGTTTTTAAAACTATCAAAACTAACCATAAATTTGTATTACATAGCAAAATAGAAATGTCGCGTAACAAGATTCATGACTTCCGCAACAAATCAAAAAGCATCATTACAGTAAATAGTCGCATCGTTAAAAAAGATGCATGGGTATAAAAGCTCTTGTACATGTATGCTCTTTATAATAGAAAAAATTATTAATTGAGTTAGTTAGCAGATGGAGATTTGATTGAGTTGGTTGGTGTTAATAAATAAAGTGTTTTTGTAAAAGATAAAAGTTTGGTGTTAAATTTGAATTTTTAAAACTTTCCAAATAATGAGATTTGGCCCAAATACTAGAAAAAACTAGTATTTGGGAATTTGGGTTATTTGCCAAAACAATTTGCCAAATAATGAGAAAGTGTATGGACAAACAATATTTGCCAAATTTTTTCCCAAGTTTTACTTGGGAAATCTATGGCCAAACGGGGTATAGGTATAAAAGAAAAACTTTGCGGCTTTACATTTACTTTGGGGAAAACATTAATTTTTTTTTAAAAAAAAGAAGAGTTTTCCCCTATAAGAAAGAAGAAAGTGGCGCATGTGCAAATGTTCTTTGGCTTCGTAATATAGAAAAATAAAATAAAATAAAAAGATTAGAATATATTTAGCACATAAAAACAGTAAAAGAAAAGAGTATATACCTTGCTTGCTTCTTCCCCAACCCCTGCTTTATGTTTTTATCATTTTTTGGACTGAAAAATAACAAAAAGTTACACTCTTTTTATTCGTACATAGCACAGCTTCATCTAGCTAGAAAATCATGTCTAAAAGTTGGATACTTGTGCTCACTTTTTAGAAATAATTCCCCTTTTTTTTCATTGCATTAGTTGACTTCTTTGCCTTAAGTGCCTTTATTAATTTTCTCATCCACATGCATATTGCATCTCGACAAGCAAAATATAGATGAAAAGTAAAAATGAACGGAAGAAGTATATGTAAGAAAAGGTTAGTTATATATAATACTACTTCCGGAAATTGAATTCTACAAATGATTTAACTACTACTACTAAAATTGCCAGTGGATTAAGTAATTAAATTTTAGAAAAATATTCAAGGTTCAGATTTATATTCGTTTACTATATAAAATATCTTAATTTTACTCTATTATACTTTGAAATCATTCAAATTATATTCTTATCATAGCAAATCGTCTTGTATTTGCTCTTTATTTTAACTGAAGTTCTTAGAGTTACATTCTAGGATTTACGGGGTTGAATCCACGTGTCAACTTAATTGAGAAAAAATGTTCAAATTTACTTCTCGAATTAATATATTAAACTAATTTGTATAACAGATGGCCCTTGTATCAGCTATATAAAATATTGAGTGTAAGCAATAATAAATGGATTATTCTTTTTTCCGGACAATTAAAAATAAACTCTAACACTACATATATATGTTTATTATTTACAAAAAAATCAGCATTTGAATTAGTTTAACTTCCAATTATCTAAAGAATAAAATTAAGGCGTGCTAAAGCGAATTAATATACTATAGTAATTAACTCTTAACAAAGCACGTGGACTAAAATAACCATTTGTCAAATGTTGAAAATTAATGCGATAGTAAGAAAATAAAGTATCTCTCTAAGTGAGAACACTGATAATCCTTCTTCTAATTTGTTAGAAGAAAATATTATTGCATTAAACAATGGGAAAACAAGAAACGTACAATATTATGAATTAAAGATGTGGGTTAGTAGGTTGTTGATGTTGTAGTAGACTACTTGGACATGAAGAAACCTCATTTGCATCATCATTAATGCTCAAAGAAGAAGAACAAGAGGAAGCTGCACCTCTACTATCACTCAAATTATCTTCCCTCATAAAATCATAATACACTATTGGTTGGACTATATTATGTTCATCATAATTAGTCTTGTAATTATCATCATGATAATTAGCCTCAACAATTTCTTCATCACATTTTCCATTTCTCTTCTTCAAAAATATATGACAAAGAACCCAATTTCCTATTTGAACCAATGAATTCTGCAAAATGCAAAATAGATAATTTTAGGTTAAACATTTGACAACAGATAGCTAGAGAGACATTTTTAATTTATCAAGGGGTGTCATGATCCATGCATTTTGAATAAATAAATGAATGTAAATATTTATTTTGGACATGAAATAAATTAAAGATGTAGAAACCCCCACTTGAGTCTCAGACTCAAACTATTTAACAGTCAAATTGTGACAATACACCACACTCTATGCATGCCACTAATATATAGTATGATAGTAGTGTGTGTATATATTACTCTCTTTAGTGTGAAAATCGGTGTTTAACTGGGTACAAAATTTAAGAATGAAAAGACTTTTTTTGAAATTTGTGATCTAAAAACTAGTTATATATATTTGTGTTGAAAAATAGTATATTGATATGTAACTCACTGCATACATCTTACTCTCTCCATACCTCACTTGTGAAATTATACTTGTATATTCTCATACAAAAAATTGTCATTTTCTTTTTGACTGGCTTAACTAAAAAAGAGTGTCACATGAATTGAAACGTAATTAAATACTGAGA